AATTGAACTTGGGAACTTATTTGCTTGAGTTACTTATTTCTTTCTTCCTTGTTTTATGTTCTTTGTTTTTGTTTCTATTTTGTGTAGGGAAACTAAATTGGATCATTCAATCACCAATCCCTGTGGAATCGACCTCGCACTTACATATGCTATACTACCAACGGTTCGTGCACTTACGAGTATCACAAGTTGAGGATGCAGCTTAATCCATTTTGGTGGAGCTAAATCTACGCAACACGCCACCTATTGGAAACACTGATGGCGCCACCTTTAGCTTCAGTCACGTGTTGCCCTATACTATTTAATATTATTTTTCTTGAATTTACTTCTAAAATTCATAATTAATTAATTAAAAATCCAAAAAATACACCGAAAATTCATAGGAACTCCTTGTCTACACCCTCAAGATTTGAAAGTATAATTTTAACTTATAATTAAAAATATGAAAAATATGCCCACAAAAAGAGATGTGCTCCTTACGACAATGTCTTCGATATTAGAGTTCTAAAAATCATAATTCAACATATTTGAATTCATGGTAATCATTGGATCAATGAAACAAAATTGTGATGTTATAAAACATTAAGTATGGTTTTGGTTTGTTTATAAACAAATTAATGTTATAAAACTTTAGTTTCTATTACTTTTTTGTTTACCTTAAAACATTCAAAAAATAAAAATAAAAATCAGAAGAACACTCATTCTGAAACCTCAACGATGTACCAATCTTCCGAAGCGTTCTCTTCAATTTATTATTAATTTTCTATACTATAACTTCCAATATTCATAAGGTTTATTTACTGTAGTACCCCTTGAAACTTTGGTCAAATCTCACTTTGTCCCCCGAAAGTTAAAATGATCCACTTAACCCCCTTGACCACTGTTTTGTATTCCACTTTACCCCCTACCGTCAACTCCATCTAAAAATCTATTAAAATTGCTGACATTGCAAGGATATTTTAGTCATTTCCAACACATGAGTTATTTACCCACCAATATGATAAGGCAAAGTGGACCCCACATCCAACATGGAATAAAAAAAACTAATAAAAAATTTAAAAAATCAATTTTACACAATAATTACACAATAAACAAAATTGAAAAAATCAATTACCCAACCTAATCAACCCAACCCTTTGACCCAAAAACAAAAAATCAACCCAACCCTAGTCATTTTCCCCTCATTCGTTGGCTATCTTCAGCATCAAAGGCACGCCGCCTTCTTCGATGATGAGCTTGTTACACCTTTCGTTATCTCTGACCAACGACACCAAAGAAGTTGCCGCATCTGCGAGGCTCCTCTGCAGACAAAGTGTAGGGTTCGCGATCTGTTCCCATATCAAACACAACATGGGCTCGTTGGCAGCGATCCGAGGGAGAACAAGGTACTCGTTGTCGCGGTCGTCGAGGGGTGTGGAGACGCGGAGGAGCCACGACACTTTGTCGATGGATTTCTAGAGCAGATGCGAGATCTTGCGGAACGCGGTGGCGGGGATAATGATGAAGATGCGCTTCATGAGGTCATTGGCGAGGGTTTGCCTGGTCTCATCGATGCAGTGCGTGGGGCTCTTGTAGAGCTCGTGGCTGGAGAAGGAGGCCAGCAAGCTTCTCCGTCTTGGATTTGAGCTCAGCGCTGTTTTTCTTGAATGAACGTACCTCATTGACTAGGAAGGGAGAAAGAGGAGCTGGGGAAGTGAGGGGCGGGGAGTGGCTGGGGTTGGGTTGGTACTGTTAAGGGAGTTTGGGAAATTGATTTTGTCATTTTGTAATTATGGTATGTAATTGATTTTTTTCATTTTTTAAAAGCAAATAAATTTTTTATTAGTTTTTTGGTCCATGCTGGATGTGGAATCTACTTTGCCTTATCAGATTTGTGGGTAAATAACCCGTGTATTGAAAATGACTAAAATATCTTTGCCACATCAGCAATTTTAACAAATCTTTGGATAGAATTAACGGCAGGGGGTGAAGTGGAACACAAAATCATGGTCAATGTGGTTTTTTTTTACCCAGTAGCCAACGAGCGTCGTCTTCCTTGCAAAACCCAGCCATACCCACTCTCCTCCCTCATAATCTCTACATCTTCTCCACCATCAACTCTCAAACGCTTGCAAAACCCAATTCTCCTCCCTCCTAACCTCTATTTGGAAATTGCAGCACCATTTTTCTCAAACCTTCAGCTTCATTTGCACTGCATCGGCAGTCCAGTCAGCTTGTTGGCGTTCTACCTCCATAGGCCGACTCTACTATTTCCCTCATTGGCCAGTCTAAGAAGCCTGGCGTCACCTGTAAGTTGTGCTAAATTAATTTGATTAGGCATGACTGAAATTTTGGGGTTTTTCATGTGTTTGGCTATCTTTGAAGAATTTGTGAATTAAAGGGTTAATTGGAGTTTAATCTACTACTGTTATGACATAGAGATTTAGTTATTTGGAGTTTAACGATATTAATGAGGTGATGGTTTTGCTCTATCGCCAACAACCTTCAAGAGGCAGAGGACCCATCACCTTGGATGCTTTTGCTCATACTCTTTCATAGCTTCCCATACCAACAAGCTTTGATGCCATCAAAAACACCAGTTTAATGTGCAGATATTATGGGGGAGGAGAGTGGGTATGGCTGGGTTTTGCAAGGAAGACGACGCTCGTTGGCTACTGGGTTATTTGGGCAGTTTTTAATTTTTTTTAATTGTTAAAATTGTCAAATAAAAAAGTTAACTCCCTGTTATGTTAGTTGATACGTGTCAGCAAATTAGAGAGGGGACATGAAGGGGACACCAATTTGGGAACAGCGGATCCGCTCCCGATTTTGTGTTCCACTTCACCCCCTACCGTTAACTCTATCCAAAAATTTGTTAAAATTGCAGATGTGGCAAAGATATTTTAGTCATTTTCAATACACGGGTTATTTACCCACAAATCTGATAAGGCAAAGTAGATTCCACATCCAGCATGGACCAAAAAACTAATAAAAAATTTATTTGCTTTTAAAAAATGAAAAAAATCAATTACATACCATAATTACAAAATGACAAAATCAATTTCCCAAACTCCCTTAACAGTACCAACCCAACCCCAGCCACTCCCCGCCCCTCACTTCCCCAGCTCCTCTTTCTCCCTTCCTAGTCAATGAGGTACGTTCATTCAAGAAAAACAGCGCTGAGCTCAAATCCAAGACGGAGAAGCTTGCTGGCCTCCTTCTCCAGCCACGAGCTCTACAAGAGCCCCACGCACTGCATCGATGAGACGAAGCAAACCCTCGCCAATGACCTCATGAAGCGCATCTTCATCATTATCCCCGCCACCGCGTTCCGCAAGATCTCGCATCTGCTCTAGAAATCCATCGACAAAGTGTCGTGGCTCCTCCGCGTCTCCACACCCCTCGACGACCGCGACAACGAGTACCTTGTTCTCCCTCGGATCGCTGCCAACGAGCCCATGTTGTGTTTGATATGGGAACAGATCGCGAACCCTACACTTTGTCTACAGAGGAGCCTCGCAGATGCGGCAACTTCTTTGGTGTCGTTGGTCAGAGATAACGAAAGGTGTAACAAGCTCATCATCGAAGAAGGCGGCGTGCCTTTGATGCTGAAGATAGCCAACGAATGAGGGGAAAATGACTAGGGTTGGGTTGATTTTTTGTTTTTGGGTCAAAGGGTTGGGTTGATTAGGTTGGGTAATTGATTTTTTCAATTTTGTTTATTGTGTAATTATTGTGTAAAATTGATTTTTTAAATTTTTTATTAGTTTTTTTTATTCCATGTTGGATGTGGGGTCCACTTTGCCTTATCATATTGGTGGGTAAATAACTCATGTGTTGGAAATGACTAAAATATCCTTGCAATGTCAGCAATTTTAATAGATTTTTAGATGGAGTTGACGGTAGGGGGTAAAGTGGAATACAAAACAGTGGTCAAGGGGGTTAAGTGGATCATTTTAACTTTCGGGGGACAAAGTGAGATTTGACCAAAGTTTCAAGGGGTACTACAGTAAATAAACCTTATGAATATTGGAAGTTATAGTATAGAAAATTAATAATAAATTGAAGAGAACGCTTCGGAAGATTGGTACATCGTTGAGGTTTCAGAATGAGTGTTCTTCTGATTTTTATTTTTATTTTTTGAATGTTTTAAGGTAAACAAAAAAGTAATAGAAACTAAAGTTTTATAACATTAATTTGTTTATAAACAAACCAAAACCATACTTAATGTTTTATAACATCACAATTTTGTTTCATTGATCCAATGATTACCATGAATTCAAATATGTTGAATTATGATTTTTAGAACTCTAATATCGAAGACATTGTCGTAAGGAGCACGTCGCTTTTTGTGGGCATATTTTTCATATTTTTAATTATAAGTTAAAATTATACTTTCAAATCTTGAGGGTGTAGACAAGGAGTTCCTATGAATTTTCGGTGTATTTTTTGGATTTTTAATTAATTAATTATGAATTTTAGAAGTAAATTCAAGAAAAATAATATTAAATAGTATAGGGCAACACGTGACTGAAGCTAAAGGTGGCGCCATCAGTGTTTCCAATAGGTGGCGTGTTGCGTAGATTTAGCTCCACCAAAATGGATTTTGGATTGGCAGGTACTTCTTCAAATTCAATACTTGCCCTTTTCTTATCAACAGTATGCCAAATGATCTGGGGGCCATTAGAATCATTTTAATATAAAAGTGTAGGTATAACTGTTAGAATTTGGATTTTGAATCAAAGAGACACACAGGACAGGGACCATTTGTCAATTACTGTGAGATAAAGTTTTGTGCTTTTTGAAGTTTTTTTATAACAGGTGAAAGGTGAGAATTTTAATGAAAAATTACACATAAATCACCCCCACCACAACAATTTTAATTACCCTTTTCCCCTTTTAATGAATGCATGCCTGAAATGAAAGAGGTATAGTCAAGAACAGTTTACTCATACAGGTGTATGTTTCATGCTCTTCGGTAGAACTTGTTTCTGAAATGAGAATATTTGGATGGATGAGTTACAGCATGAGAAAGAATAAAGTATGAAAAGTACGGTTTTGTGAGACTAGTGGAGGTGAATCTAAGGCTCTATCAGAGGATTAGATAGAGTTAATGATTGTTATCTTGTAAGTTGAGTCAACATATGTCTAGAACTAGAAGTGTGATTTAAACTTTTTGAGTGAAAGAAAAGTTTTTTTTAATTTTGATTTAGATGAGGGCTTCTGCAGAAGAATTAACCTAGGTACCTGTAATGCGGAATGCATAGTACCTGTATCAAATACCGTTCATAATATGATACACTAAACTAGTAACCTATGAGCAGCATTGCTTGCAACATTTTACATATATGACAACTCCAATTGACCCTGTGCCAATTTGTTATGATTAATGCTCTGTTGATTAGGTTGCGGTTCGTGTGCGTGTTCAATAATTGCTTTTAGGAATGCTTTAATGTTGTGGATTCTGCAGGTTAATATTCAAGAGCTCAAGTTCTGCAATGGAGTGGGTCCAGAGGAATAAGTACTTCGCTGTCCTCTCCAGAGGAGTTGAGCGAGATGGTTGGAGATTTGTTCTACTTGCCCGCTTCTCGCCAATGCCCTCCTATATCATAAATTATGCCCTTGCTGCAACAAGAGTTCGGTTTGTTGTGGATTTTCTGCTTCCAACAGTTATTGGCTGCATGCCTATGATTTTACAGAACACATCGATTGGCAGTTTGGCTGGTGCTGCTGTTTCTTCAGCATCTGGCTCTCAGAAATCTCAAATTTGGTCATATCTTTTTCCTGTACTAGGAATTGGCTCTAGCATTCTTATTTCCTTGAGAATTAAGAAGTACTCTACTGAAAATTTAGTGACTGAATCCCCTACCAGTGAGCATATTAATGATTCTAGTAACATTGCTGATTCTAACAAGGACCTGAAAAAGGGTGAATAATAGATTTGTTAACCCTAAAACTCCAAAGAATGGTTGTATCTTCTCCAATTGATGGAATTTTTGCAATTGAGACTCCTTCTTGTTATATACAATCGTTGTTGTTGTTGAATGGTGTGCTATTTATTGTTTCCCAGGCAGGAGGGGGCCCTAGGCCCGGAAGGAGACTCCAGCGCACAAGATCCAGCCCGGGCAAGGCGTGGGACCCACAAGCCCACGGGGAGATCTGGCCCGTCTCCTTGCCTTTGGGCTGCTGACGTCAGCGCAAGAATTTCAAAAAAAATTTACCGTTGGCGTGTGCATAGCTGCCAAAAACAAACAGCTACAAGCCACGTGGCTTCTCCTGGAGCCTTCGATCCAAAAATCTTATCAAATCCAACGACTGTCTATTTTTTGGCTTAAAAAAATCGGAAAAATTTGTAAAAAATATTTTAAAAATTCTGGAAATTTTTTCTACAAATGCCTACTAATAATATTTGCTTTCCACACCAAAACTTCATACAAACTCATCTATGTCTAATTTTTTTCACTTTCCACACAAAATTTTCTACTAAATTTCATTTGTATAAAAATACAAATGGCCTCTTTCATCGAAGTCTGAGCCGCGTGGACAACCGTGTAAGATATTTTGTTGTGTGAGTATTGAGCTAAAGTTGGTCATTGCCCGATCACGGGCAATGAGATGAAGTCCTCTCATATGTGGAGAAAAATTCCAAAGCATTGGCGTATCTTCTTCAAGTGATGGAATTTTTGAAGTTGAGACTCCTCCTTGTTGTTATATACAATCTTTGTTGTTGTTGAATGATGTGCTATTTATTGTTTCCCAGGCAGGAGGGGGCCCTAGGCCCG